ACTGATAAATTTGGAGAATTGTGTCAATAAGATGATGTACCAAAGTGAACTGGAACATGAAGTATTTTCTGGAAAGAGTGTTTATATCAGAGCACATAGAGACTGTTATTGGTCCAAGGGAAAGAATCAGTAGGGAGGAATAGATTATTGTAGTGATATAAAATGAAAATAGTTCGAAAAATTAATGGAGCGCAGGTGAAGATGATGAGAAAGAATAGAATTTAAAACATGAAGACAAGTAAGCAAAACAAAAGAAAATAAGAACTGAATAACAAGAAAAACGGAAAGAAGCAGGATGATTAAAGATTCTACTCCATCTGGGACTCTGTCTTAATGAACTAAAATTATAATTCATAGGTGCAAATATATTGCTTAATTTAAAGCAATGGTTATCAAAATCAGCTGCAAGACAGAGTTGCTTTGTTGTAATAAGTGAAATCTGTCCAAGTGACTACTCTGGATGGCAAGATTATTAAAATAAAAATATTTCAAGATGGAGTCTAAGCATCAATATTTTGAAAAGTTCGTTAGGTAAAATTATAATATTAAACTGGATGAAAAACCATTTATTTAAGAAAATTGCAGATGTTTAGGAATATTACCTATAGAATATGAACTGTATCTTTAACTACCAAGATTAAAATCTACATTTTCAAAACATTAAATTGTATATAAAAATCTGTGCCTTTAATATAGAGTGATTGGTTTATGAAGAAAACTAGCTTCATGTGAAAAGAGACCTTAAAATATTAGGCCAGGACATTCATTAGTGTCAATTTGTAAGATCTCATTTATGGCTACAAAAATGATCTTTCATGCAGTATGAAGTATGCAAAACAGACAGAAAAGATAAGTTTGACCATGCCAGCAATTTCCCACTTAATTTAAGATGCACTAATAATCTGATTACATTTCAGTTCCAGTTAATGAAAGATGAAGATGCTGTCTTAAGGCTGTATTCATCTAAATGTGGCCATACATGAAATATCAGAATCACTTATTCTTTTTAAAATAATCAAAGATAAGAATTATAAAGTGAAAAAAACCAGTTTATAATCGAGAACTTTTAATTAGGACCTAGGCACATACATCTTTACAGTCAGACTATTCACTCCTTGAAGGCAAAGGTAAACTATCTCATAAAAATAAGGTAACAGAATAATTAAATATGTCCTTACACCAAGCCAAGATTCTCTCATGACTATATTGAAAATAATGCATTGAAAGTGATCTGAATCTATACTTTAAGAACTGTCATCCTATATTCTCTTTTCTGGATAGTGTTCACAGTCATTTTTGTTTTTATTTCTTTTACTCTTTTGATTTCAGGTTATTGGCCATAAAGTAAACTAATTGATGTTCCGTTGGGTTGATGAGAAAAGACCAGGTTGATTATGAGTGGAGGCCAGTGTAGCAGAACATCACATTCTGTGATCCTTAAAAGGCATTTAAAGAGCACTGTTCTATAGCAGATTGCTTTATTTTAAATTTTTTCTCAAAATAGGAAATTTGCTCCTTTTATTTCTTCAAATATTTGGAGGATATTTTATAGTTACTCTTTTAACACAGGCCAGGAATAACATTAAAAACATTAATGATATAAAAAGATTCAGTTTGGGGCATTCAAAAAATGTTAAAAATAAGAGGCATATAGATACAATCTACCTATATAATCTGCAGAGTTCCAGGAAATATGTAAAATATTATTTTTAAAGGCAAGGCAAGATGTGTTTTATAGATACATAAGGGAAATTAACTTTTTCAGCTTAAAATGCCCGAATCATGCTTTTGATTCCCCAAGGCAAACATTTTTTTGAGATATTCTTCTACAACATAATTACTATCATTTCCTTAGTTACATTTTAGTTCCCTGCTGACTGTTTTTCTGTATAAACTTACTTTTATTTTCATTTATGTCATTATACTGATGAGAATCAGGTCTAATTAAATATGAATTTGATAATAACTATCATTTCTTTATCTGTATAAACTATAATTTTTCTCCCTATGAAATAGTGCCTCAGTAAAGAAAAATGTAGTTCTCTGGGTCCATCAATTCACTAGAAATAAAGACATTTACACCTGGTCATTCATTTATATCCATTTGTCTATAGGTTTTCCTTTCCTTCACCTATAAATAAGATTTATTAAACATCTATTAAAATCTAGTATTTTTTTTAAATATTTATTTTATTTTATGCATGCAAGAGCTGGGGTGCAGGTCAGAGGTGTGGGGGGGTAAGAGGATTCACCAGAGACAGAGTGGGCAGCAGAACAGGCAGATATACTGAAATATGTGCTGAGGGGAACAGGGGACAAAACAGGAGAGGTCTGCTGCACCATGTAGGTCAGCTCCCTGGCTGTGGATCGAACTCGTGCTGCAGTGGCTGTGGATAGTTCACAGTGCTGAGACTTAACAACTTGTGCCACCAGGGAGGCCCCAAATCTAGTTTATTAAGCACTTAATATATACCAGGAACTATGGATACTCTGATGCTATGGATACAGAAATACAGTTCTGCCCTCCAGACAAATGGGTAAAAGGTAGATTTCATCAATATGACAATTACCACAACAAAGATATGAATAAAATATGTGGTAATTAGAAAACCTCATCCCACTACTACAGAGAATATTCATACATGACATGTACTTTTAGGTAATTTTCAGATCCCAAGCTGTAATTATGCCCATTTTCATATCACACAAGAAAGTATATCTTAAGTAAATAAATAGGGTTATCATTTATTTATAATTTATATTAGCAATTATATTATGCAAATTTGGTAATGATGCATAGTGAATAAATATTTATTGCATGACTAATATGTCTGTCATGTGCTGGCCTGACATGTAAGACAGACAGCTGATTCCTTAGGATTTTCAATTTGGGGTGGGGGGAAAAGAAGAAAATAGGAACAACTTCAGATGGTCATAACTGTTTTGACTGTGAGGAGAGCACAGGTTATTGCAACAGAATATGTGTGTGTTGGGAGGCTATTCACACTAAGCTGTTAAGAAGGGCCTCCCTGGTGGCGCAAGGGGTTAGGTCTCAGCACTATGAAGCTGTAAGCAGCTACTGTAGAACGTTTGATGCCTGGCCAGGGAGCTACCCACATGGCACAGCAGACCTCTCCTGTCTCATCTGCTGCTCCCCTCATTAGTGTATTTTAGTCAACCTGCCTGCTCTGCTCCCCACTTTGTCTCTGGTGAATCCTCTCACCCCCATACCCCTGGCCTGCACCCCAGCTCTTGTATGCATATATATATATATATATATATATATATGGTTTTCAAAGAGGTATCATTTTGATCTGGGTCATGTATAGTGAAATTAGTGTAACCTTATAAAATCTGTGGTAAAAATAATGCTCTGAGATAACAGAGAATAGTGCACAAAAGTTAAGAAATATTTGGTTTTATCATGCCAAATATTTCTTCAGCAGTCTTTCACTGGGATCTGGACACAGCACTGTATCACAAACTACTGTGTAACTGCTGGGTTGTGAGAAGGAAAAATTACAGGAACACCTACTGAAACTACTAAGAAATTCTTTCCTAGAAGGCAAGGAAAAAAGAAGAAATTAATCAAATATTTAAAAGGGATAGAGCTCAAGTTAGAATAGGTAATTCAAGAAAATGAAGAGCAAGGGACATTGAAATAATCAGTTGTTCAGCACGTCTGAGGCAGGAAGGAATAGAGAGTCAAAGAGGAAGAATAAACCCAGGACGATACCATTAAAACATAAATATACTGTTTAAGCTTTAGCACTGCTTGTCACTTTTTATTTTTAATTATTTTAACATTTTAGATTCATCTTTATTGTTATTATTTCAAAATATTTCACTGTATTTGTGCAGGATGTGTAACTTAGTCACTAACTTTATAGTTTTCTCATAATAGTATGCAGATGGTAGACTTGATTATCTAATTAGCAACAAAAGCTGTTGAAAAACTAATATATCTGCTGCAAAATATTGATATACACAAACGGAGTGCTTTTAAAATATCCTAAACAATTCATCAAACAATAAAATTAGTAGATCCAAATATATGTATTAGTATTTTATATAACAGTAATAATTTGAACTTATTAAATATCCTAAAAACATACAGAATCATGATCTTCCTGGCCTGAAAGAAACTTAAAATTTTTGTGAGAATGATTCTCTGTTTAACAAAAACCCAGATCAGTAGTCTTTACATGGCTGGGCACATGAAATCCATGGCTTATTATTATTTTTTTAACATCAATTATGTACGTATTGCTCCTAGAGCTTCAAATTCAGAAAGACAAGTGAATCATGGTAATCCATATTGCTAAACAGTTCCCTAGAATATTTTGACTTGTAGTCAGTCTGAAGTCAAATACTCCACAATTTCTAAAAATCCTCAGAGAATATTATGACCTATTTGAGATTTATACTTAGAATATTTACTCAGTATACAAAAATATTTTTATATAATTTACAGTTCATTTGAATGTAATAAGTATATTTAATGGTAAATGATAAAACAAATCACAGATAAAGATTTTTCCCAGTTTCTGTTTTTAAAGAATGATAATTTTCCTGCTGAAATGATTCCTGATTATGTCCAAATAACAACTGCCTATTTGATTGCCTAACAATTCGTTAATGCATATTTGGATATATCACTATAAGACTTTACAATTATTTCTAAAGTAGTTCAAAATGTTTTACATTTTTACACTACATATCTGATACTCAAAACTTCAGTATATTAATTTTAAGACATCATTATAAAGAGTTCAAATAGCTTTATGTATATTTAACAATTTTAACTTAAAGTACATATAGATAGGTTTTTATTTGAAAAGTAACCAGACATTTAAAGCTTTTTAAGATAAGTTATACTATATTTTAAATCTGAAATTCATTTAGAATGCTTTAGCAATTTATTAACTAATGCATTGTGCAATGCCATAGAAGTATATTCTCATGCTCTCTATGTAATTCCATGTTCTGTGAATAATTACCTGTATGACACTGTCCCCAGGGCTCATGTCTGTATAAACATAGACATCATAGGATATTTCCGGAAAGGTTGGAGTGTTATCGTTTGCATCCATCACTCGGATATTGACAATAACTGGTTTGCTTTCTTGTATACCATCAAATGCTGTTATCTGTGAGGGCAGAAAAATGTATTTAGTAGAAAAATCTTGCAAATATAAGCAGTACAGAATTCACTCTTACCATTAAAGTTTCTATATGCAATTTACAGTTAAAAAGCATGCTACCATTTTTGTTGAATAAAGTCATAAAATTATAATAGTATATATAATCTAGCATATCTAATCAATATGTTTTAATATATTAAGAAGCAATTATGGAGGAATGTTCTATTTTTAATGTTTTCAATTCCAAGTATATTTTACATTAGCAAACATGCAAAATAGAAACTTGCAGGAGGTCAATAATATCGCTCATTCATAGTTGCTAACTACTGTTTAATTTTTAAATATTTAATAGTAAAATAGTACACATTTTTACACATTTTCTATACAATGCAGTAATTGCCTTTATAGTCAATATGTTTGTATCAGTCAAGGAGGTTTGTGCCTACATATGTACAATGTTTCTAGTAATTCATAAATGGCAACTTTTAAAGGATTCATTGATATTATTTAATGGCAATATCTTGAATAAATTATTTTAGAAAGTCAGAGAAGCAGAATCAACACTACAATTCAAGTTCTTCTTGTACCTTTCTATTAGCTCATTGATCCCTTGTTTATAAATAAAATGAAGTTCAAGAATATGGATAATAGTTATAACTGCAGTTTTACCTGGATTCACTTCTCAACCTGACTAGTCCTATCTGGTGTGTGTGTGTGTGTGTGTGTGTGTGTGTGTGTGTGTGTGTGTGTATGCATGTTTTTCTCAATCTATCATCTGTCAATTGTCATTATATGTTTTTCTACCTCATGATGATAACTATTTACAAGCACAGCTTTAATAATCTTCCCTTTTCTTTTTTCTTTTTTTCTTTATTTCTCTATCTCAATGCAATTGACATTTTGGAACAGATGTTCCATGGATTGTAAGATATTTTGCAACATCCCTGATGTTCAACAGATGCTGGTAGCACTGCCTAGCAGTAATGATAATGACAAATGTCTCCAGATATTAAAGCATGTTGGGGAGGGTGGCAAGGATCATCAGCAGTTCTAATCACTGGCTTAATCTTATTACAAAGTTAAAAATGCATAACAAGAATAAAATTCGATGCAATTTTTTTTTACTTTGTGGACTATGTTATCTCAGTGTAAGACAACCATGGATGTATTGTAAAGAATAAAACTTCCATTTCTTGTTTTTAACATGAAATTTAATTTCCTTTTCTTGAGAATTATGGAAACACAGCTACACAACTTACAAAAAAAAAAAAAGAAGAAATCCATGCGACAGATTTTTATTACTGATATTTTCTATGACATTATTTGAAAATATTTTTCCTTTTAAAACACTGACCTTTTGTTGTTAATAGACATATGATGCTACATACATAAATTTATATATAGTATATATAATCTCTTTACCGAAAATGTATAGGTTTGCTGTTCTTCCCTGTCCACTGGTTGAAGTAAGGTGAGGTAGCGAGTGATACCGGTCTGCGTGACGGTGAACACCGAGATGTAATCATTCAGAAAAAGGTGAAGCTCTGGATCTTTTGTCTTAAGGAAAAAGTAATTGTTTAAAATTTAGGATAAATAGTCCAATACCTGCAAATTAATTTTTCAATTTTATATATATTACAAAAATATATGTTGCTATTAAGAATTTTTTAAAAAATAGTTATATTATTTACTCATAATTGAACTGATCTAGTTAAAAAACAATGATTCATTTTGTGGAAAATGCAATACAGGATAAATACTAGTATAATTAATATAGTAGTACACCAGTATAAAATTATACTGATGTATAAGAAGAAAACTGTATAAAAGGAAAAATAGCAGAAAGAATAAAATAGAAACATCAATTAAATATAACCTAATGAACTCTTTAATATCATTATTTTACAGAATTTCATTATTACACTGTGGTGTAATAACACAGTTGTATGACTAAAAAAACGCCACCATTCAATTTATGAAGACCATGAGATTTTCATAGTCAAATGCTTCCCATTCAAAGATGATATAAATACAGGATTCCATAAGCAAACTCTTATATTTGATAACCAGAAACATTAAAGAACTTCTGAAAATTTAATTGCTTCTACTTCTTGAGCCCTTTCATAATAACCAGCTAAGCTAAAATATTTCCCATAACTGTAGATTATTTGTTTTATGTAAAAAAGAATACTAAAGCTAACATTGTACATGACATATTTTAGCACATTCATCTCTGATTAAAATACAGGCTTTAACAGTTAATGAATATTTTAAATAAAACTTTTTTTTTAAATCTATATGTAGCCAAGGACATGCTATTGGTAAATATTTAGATATTCTTTAAGCACCATACTTCAGAAGTCAGACCTGCGAATGTTCACACAATGATCAATTAAAGTTTAATATTTTATATTTACTTGTAAGAATCATATTAGTTTCAGGTATGGTATATTATTAGTGCAAAGGGATAGATAATTCTCTAGGTTACTATCTTAATAGGGAGAGATTTTATGTAGTCCTTATGTCTTTCAAATGCATTGAAAATAAGTATTCACTTTATACATCAATATGTACACAGTGGACTAATTAATACATATTTTCCTCTTCTAACGCACTGATTGTACACTTAATCTATAGTATACATTCAGCATATAACAAAATTATGAATTTTTACTTCACGGAATTATGCATTATTTTCCAGGGAAGGTAAAATAAACTCTGACACCTGATTTCTGTTACCTGTGTACCTCAAAACACAAAAAAAGAATGTGAAAGTAAGCACATATAGAATGTGAAGGTAAATATATATGAATATAAAATTTTAAAATCACATCATATTGAATATTAATTTAAACATGACTGTTTATCATATTTGAAACCAATACTGGATTTGAATGGTTATCAAAATATGATATCACACAAACACACAATATTATATGTATTTTCATGCATATGTACACACAACACATAAACATGTAAGTATATATAAATGCACTTATATATGTATGCATACTGATGTATACATATAATACATATAGATTATAAAGCACATCTGGAAAATGACAGAAATTAAATCTGATTTGCCAATTTCAATTAGTTGACAGTAGTTTCTGAAGATCCTTTTATCAAAAGAGTTCCACTCTAAACTTGGAACCTTTGAAAATGAAGGCACTGATGAACTACAATGTTTTTCACAGACTAAAAAAAAATATTTACTCATGGTCAGTAAAATAAGCCAGAAAGAAAAAGAAAAATACTGGATGGTTTCACTTATAGGAGGACGGTAGGGGGTCCAAATAAGGGATCAGGAAAAAAAATTATCATAAAGTAAAAATCAAAATCAACACTCAACTATAAACCTGAGATATTCTGCAGTGGGGGAGGAGGGAGAAGGATCAAAACAGGGGATGTAAGACTACAAGGGACTATGGTGATGGTGCATGGGCGAATTGGTGGTGGGAATTTTATGAGGACTATATCTGAGACGAAAAAGGGAACATTGTACAAAAATTAAGAATGGTGTGAAAAATATATAAAATAATAAAAATGAAATAAAATATTTAATAGTATTTAAGATATTTTAATAATTTATATTATTAATTTAAAAATTTAAACATTTAGTTCATATGCAGTCTGAACTCCAATTTTATGCTACTATATCAAATAATATGATGTAAGTATATTTAAGATATGTTTATGTGCAAATATTTAAAGATGTCTTTATAAATGATAAAAAGAAATTATCTACTTGTTTCAGTAGAACAGAAAAAGCCAATAAATCACAGCAAGTAATAAAAGAGCAAACACAAAATAACACCTAGTACCTACAGGAACTCCACCAGGTGGAACCTATATGCAAATTAAACATGAAATAAAAATGTACATATAAATAGTCACATATGTGTGGCATATAAGAATATGTCAGCTTAAAAAGGCACACATTTTTCAGTTCACTTAAACAACTTTTCCCAAAGTATACTGTTTTCTTAGAATCCTGCCACATCAACACATATATATGAGAGCATTACAATACTCTTACTTTTATAGTACCTTATATTAAAATTCAAAGTTATCTTTATTTTGAAGCAATAACATTTTATACAAGGATGTGCAATGACATGGGGTGATAATAAGTGAATCGTCTTTTTACAGATTAAATGCCTGCCATGTTAACTATTACTCCCTGCTATTTTTTAGTAACCAGTATATAATAATCAATTTTAATTGGATCCACACTGAAACCCAGTGATCTCTATATGACAACTAAAAATCATATTATTACCTGTTGTAATTATATTTTGGAATATTTTAAAAAATATGAGGTACTTGAAAAACATAAATGTGATTCAGATAGATGATATATGCTGGTAGCTGTATATCTATAGAAATGGAACATTACTATACATGTTTTTTTTTTTTTTTTCAGTTTCATTGTGACCCTTAAGATTCCTTCTGACTGGAAGTCTACACTGCTAAAAACACAACTCACCAATTTTTGTTAGTATTTCTTAAACCTGTCTTACATTCCATTTAATTGAAGGAAGAAATACAAATTTATTTTTGGACGAGCAGTTCCAAATAAAACTACTCTTTGTCATTTGTCTTTTGACATAGGTGTTCTTGAAGCATTTCAGGAGAAACTACTCTTGCAGTGACAACTTCCCTTTTGAAGCCTGATGCTCAATCTCTGCTTCTGTTGGTGACACCTATAGGAGGGGTTATGTCTCTGATTTCTTTCTTAAAACCTGCATCCCTATGCTGATTAATTTATTAAGTATGATTCAACATCAGAAAGAATTTTCCATGTAGTAAAATCTGTAACTGTGAAATAAAAGAGGCTTAAAAATTTCTTTAAATAACTAGCATAGAACTAGTTTATCTCTTAAAAATAAAGGATGAATGACATGAAGGAAGAGATGATCTGGAAGGTCATATATCCATCTTCAAACATTTTTCTTTCTGAATTTATTACTTCATTTTTAATGGACTATTACTCAGCATTCAAAAAAGATAAACACATGCAATTTGCAGCAACATGGATGGTGCTGGAAGGGCTTATGCTCAGCGAAGTAAGCCAGAAAGAAAAAAGAAAAATACCGGATGGTCTCACTCATAGCAGGAATCTAGAAAACTTAAATAAGGGACCAGGAAAATGAATAACTATAAGAAAGTAAAAATCAAAATCAACAAACAACTATGAACCAGAGACATTCTATGGGGGGTGTGGGTCGCAATTGTTTGGGGAATATAAAAATAAAAAAAAATAAATTAAAAAAAGGTAATAACAAAAAAAAATTACTAGAACTTACTAAGTTTGGGGAATTGTTTTAGATCTTCAGGATTTAAGAATTACCAAGATGTATGACCTATCTTTAAAGGATTTAAATTCAATGAGGAGAAATACACGTGCTACAAAGTTGGAAGGTTAACATTAGAGAAATGCACCTAGGAAAAATATGCAACTCAATGTAGGGAATGAATAGTCTGGAAAATATTCTGGAATGAATTCTAAATACTGAGCAAAGGTCATCCAAGCCAGCTTGTATAATGGGACATAAAAGACATCCAAACATGAAAAAATGTAGCAAAATTAATTAGGTAAGGATCAGCTTGACAAATGCAGGAAATGAAGTTCAGGTTCAAAGAAATGGTGCTGTATTAAATAGCAGAAAGTCAATATACATAAACATATTTTCTTCTATAGAGAAATGGAGGTCCTCATATTAAACAAAATATGATATAATAAGATTTGAGCTTTTGAAAAAATGTGGCTTAGTAATATGGATTTGAGTAAGAAAAAATGGAAGCAAGGGGATCAGGAAATCATTCAAATAAAAAATAGGAAAGTGGATAATGTAAAACGAATGGGGAGTAGTGAGTCAAGGAATATCTGAGGACAGCACAGGAAGAACTCAAAGATTTCTTAGTTGTTTTGAGTCAAAAAAAGTCCAGGATGACTATTAGGTTTCTATATCAATTCATAAGGAATGGGTTTAAAAGACAATATGTCACATAGTTTAAGAAATTGGAATAATTTCTAATGTTCTTTTTTATGTAAATTATGGTTTTATAGAAGCTATTTGTGAAATTTTAGAATCCTTTTTCCTTAAAGGATTTAACATGTTCACTTTCTGGGCACCTACTGGCAACCTCTCACTAGATAATTTTAGGAAGAGGATGGGTAGATACACATTTTATAATTACTTGACATTTTTACAAAACATATAGGTGACTGAATAAACGGGGCGATGTGAGGCTCAGTGAAGAGATTTGTAAAAATTCTCTAACCAGCTCCAAAGCAAACTGCCAAGGACCATAACATGTTGCCCTACTGCTTAGAATCATCTGAGAATTAAATAGGCTAATGGCATTAATAACCTCTAAATGTAGAATTTCAGATAATGTTCTCCAATATTTTAGACACAGGACCCCACCTTGGCAATATCTTGTTTATCACTGACCTTTTACAAAATATCCTAGAACACAAATGTAACATTTTTAATTTTAAATTGTGTAGTAATCCAGATAAATAAGAATCTATATAAGCAAAGCATAGAGCTTAATATAAAACCATTAACTAATATAAATACACAGGGCCAGTGCAAAGAAATAAAAGTTGTTATGGAAAATCTACAACTTCATATTTTTTTAAATTTAGTATTTTTTAGAATTTAGTCTCCATGTCTATTATAAATTTCTGAATTGGGGCCTATCTGGTGGCACAGGGTATAAAGACAACACTATGCTATCAAGCTATCGCCAGCCACTAAAACACCAGTTTGATGCCCAGCCAGCCAGGGAGAATCCCACATGGTACAACAGACCTCTCCTGTCTTGCACACTGCTCCCCCCTAACAGTGTATTTCAATAGATCTGCCTGTTGTGCTTCCCAATCTCTCTGGTGAATCCTCTCACCCCAACACCCCCCACACCTCTGGCTTACACCCCAGTTCTTGTATACATAATCTTTAAAAAAATTTCCAGATTGACAATACATGTTTGATTATGCATTCAAATTTAAAAAATGAAATAAAATCTACACCAAAATGTGTGGGACATCACCAAGCCTACACCATATATTAATTTAGCTTGGATACAACTGATTAAAAATGTTATATATATTTTCTATCAAGGATTCACTAAGAGTTTTTATCTGTATCTAACGAAACCCATTAAGCTTCAGAGTATCTCTAAATCCCATGAACTGTGATGTGAAATTGTGTAAGTACATGCCCTTTTCTAGAAAGAAAGCCTACAATGTCGATCAGCTAATATAGACTACTGTCAAAACAACTAAGATTTAAGAGGGGCTTCTAGACTAGACTTTAAACTCAAGGACTTTGTTACTTGTGAACCTTGGTTACAGAATGAGCTCCACCATTAACTAACTCTAGGATGAGAGAATAACATTTAAATTACCCATTTTTCCCTTCTTCAGAATGGGAACTTGCATATATTTGCTGTGAAATTTAACAGAATCAATGCAATGTGAAGCATTTACTAATTGTCCTCAGGTACTAAGAACTCAATGCTGGCTATTTTTAAAACATAAAATGAGAAAAAAAAATGGGAGAGACTAAAGATGGATAAAAACAATGGGATGAGAGAAGAAAGCAAATTAGATATGAGTAAAAGAAAATATCTGGTGAGAAGAAGTGGAGTACACATGAAAGTTGTCACAGCCTCTGCTAAGAATTATAAAATTTTAACAAAAAGAGCAAAAAAAAATTCTGAAAATGCCCGCTTAATTTATTACACTGATGATAAAGCTCCATATAATGACATCTAGGAGATTTTCTACAGCCATGATGTCCAAGTTTTAGCAACACATGACTATGCAAACTTAATTAAAATTAAATTGTTAAATTCCTGTTTTCAGTGTAGTCACATTTCAAATGTTGTACAATTATATATGACTAGCAGCTACTGTACTAGGCAGTGTAACTACAGAAATTCCCATTATCACAGAAAGTTCTGTCTGACTGCTGTGGCAGAGGGATAAATTGCTGAGTTGGACTTTTTAACTTAAAATGGACAGAAATTAAATTCAAAATATGTTTAAAAATATATCTTGGACAATATTATCATAGCTCTGTGGGCCTTATAGACTCAGCAGAACTCTTATCTTTGTATCTAGTCAGACTTCATACTCAGATAATGGGCTATCTCTGTAGTGCAAGCACACATGGCTACAATGGCTACAGATTTATTGCCACTTATTTAATATAAGATGCCAAAGTCTTCCAAATCTAGTTCCCCCTACCCCCACCACCATCCTTTTTATTCCTGGAAGGACTCTTACTGGCATGGTATGGATTTTCTGTCAACTCTTTATAACAATTATTCTGGCTAAGGAGGTGAAATACTCTGCCAGCCTGGAACATTTCCCACTCAGGTAGTCTCAGTACCAGAAAAATCAGACACAAAAAGAAGTGGGATTGTAAATGTTCCCCATTTTCTTTAATAATCTCATCAGGCTAGAAGTCCCCCAAAATTACATTCAAGGGCTATTTCCATGATTTTTGATATTTATTTTATGATGGCATTATTTTTCCCCATCAATAGTTAAATAACTTTCAACCCTTATTAATAATGAAGCAAACTCCAAGTAAAACATTCACTTTCTTCCTTATGCTGAATATCTCTAAACTAAAAATGAAGTTTCTGAATTCAAAAATACTTTTAAAAATATATATAGGGTGACTAAATAAGGGATCCGGGAGAAAAAAAAAAAGGCAAAACTAGCAGGCAACTATAAATCTGAGAAATTCAGCAGGGAATGGGGAGGAAGAAGGATTAAAACAGGCTGGAAGAGCAGAGGAGACTAGGGTGATGGTTTACAGGTGACCTGGCGGTGGGAATTTTATGGAAAGTATACCTGAGAGGACAAATCAATCATTGTACAAAAAAATGAACAAAGATGCAAAATTCAATTCCATGACACAGAATTGAAATAAAAAAGATACTCATACTGACTTTGTTCTCTATTTTACATCTACCATAACCATGTCATGTAATCTTTCCTGTTGATATAAATATAACAAAAATGTGTTAACAAAATAAGAGAAAAATTATATATCACTTACATCTTCTACATCTTTGTCCAGAGCTACAATTTTTAGAGGAGTGGTCAAATCGAGACTGTCAGAAATGGTTGCTCCCACTGGGGCAGATTCTAGGATATACCCTTGATAGCTAGGCATTGTAAAATACGGGCTCTGATTGTTTTCATCCAATATTTCAATATGTAGACTGGCAAAGGCAGGAAGAGGATGACCGTTGTCCTGTTCAGCCTAGAAAGAATAGAAAAAAGTTAACATAGGTTATGGGATCAATTAGAATTTTTGTTTTACTTGATAAAATATAAGGATTCTCTTTTGAATTGATATCATTGCGGAATAATTGCTATAAATTTGAAAGACCTTTAGAAAATATAAATGAGGAAATAAATGGAAATACAGAGAGGCCCTAGACTCTGGTTTTGTCTACTCAAACACAGTATCAACTTAAGAAAAAAAACCACAGCAATTGATTTGTCATTGCCTATTGCTGAAGAAAAACATGCTTACAGATAATTAGAAAATTTAAAAGACATTTAAGTGAATTGCTATCAAAGCATTTAAATAAAAGTGGAAAAAATTCATAACTCAGTGTTTTTATTTGTGTTAATTTCCTTTATGTTTAATTTCCTTAATGTCCTTTTATCGTACCTTAATGATGAAATACACAAATAATTTTTAACTTATATATTATCACTACATTTGTTGCCCATGGAAAGTACTCAAAAGCATCATGTAAAGAACTGAGATAATACAAATGAAATATTTATAGTAGCTATGGAATTACAAATATTTACAAAAGTGTTCTTCAAGTAAAATTAATAATTATACATTAAGGATTTTTTTCTTAATTTTTCCTCCACTTCAGTTTAAAAAAAATTGCTAAAATTTACATTTCTAAACATTTTCTTAGGAAGCGCCCAGATGATCAATGTTGTGAATGGGGAAGCACCAACATATGATTTTCTGTTTTTTAAAATGTATCTTACCATACAAAATTATAAAAGATTTATTTAAGAAATCATATAACTACTGATTTCTAGAGAGTCTTCAAAATTTAAGAGAAATGATACAAAAGTACATGTTTATTAAAATAGGTTCAAATTATCTGTCATTTTTTATTTATGCATAGAACTGTGTTGTAGGCTAGAGGTTCAGTAGGTGAGAAGATTCACCAGAGACAGAATGGGGAGCAGAACAGGTGAATCCAGTGAAATGCACTGTTGAGCAGAGCAGTCAGCAAGACAGGAGACGACAGCTGTGCCCTGTGGGTTAGCTCCCTGGCTAAGGATCGAACTCAGTCCATAGTGGTGATAGTGTGATAGCACTGAGAGTTAACCCCCAGGCCACCAGGGAGGCCCCTGGCATACATTTTTATTGACATTTTCCCCTTCTTGTTAGAACAGTTGTATTTTGAAATAGACTCAAAGTAAAAATTAATATTTAATATTAAATCTTGTAGTCCTTCCTAGATGAAATAGTGACAATTTTGCCATCAAAGTTTAAAAGTAGTTCAGATAACTACCTCAATTGTTCAATTCAGAGGCTAGAACTTGGACTACTAGAAGATAATTTTTCACTTCATTCTAACTGTGACAGCATTTTAATCAAAGAAGACTATAGGTAACAAATCACAACGTTGCAGTTCTAGTGACTTCGTACCCCCAAAAATCACTATATATTTTCATTTCCTATTATTAATATTGTAGACATTTTGAAATATCACTAGACTGATTATTAATTTTATAGTATGGTTTCTAATAAACCCACTGTGATTTTTATATAAAGCACTGATTTATAAACTACTTTTTAGTTTTTTTTTTTTTTTTATTTTGGTAAGTCAATATTACACACTGCCTTTGTAATATTGTCTAGTTTATTTTAAACATTTAAATTTTCATTTGAGAGCAGATTGACAAAGTGGTCCATGGCATAATATGTTTATGAACCCATTCTCTGCACTGAGGAGAACAATATTGAAATATGTAGTCTTTTCTGGAATAATATATCCTTCTTCCCACATAAACCATATGTGGGAAAACTACATGGAAAACTCTTTATGTAGTCAGCTGTAGTGATTAATCTGTGCTGAGTCATAGATATTCTTCCAGGTGTACCTTGTATCACATGCAGTAGGTTTTCTGGACAAGGCTCCCCATGGTGAGAGATTACTGTCTATGATTAGAAAACATCACTTTTACACTAGATGAAACAAATTGGTTCCTGTGGCGTTCCAATCCACTGACCTTGATCTGATTAAAGTATAATCAGTTCAGATATGCTATTCATTCTCAACAGGACATTTTTTTTTTTGTATCTAATGATTGTAATATCCTAGACATACTAATAATTCTATGACAAGTTACAATCTTATAATCCACCCCCTTAATCCAATAAATATACACAAGTAAACAATTTATGAATGGTGATGATAAAACAACACAAAAAATTATAGAAAAATGAATGAATATTACAGTTACATTTAGTTTCATATAGTGTTAATTTATACTGCCAGCATGAGGCCAGGAAAAACATTATTTTCATGAAGAAATCAAAATAAGCCAGTGAAAATGGAAATGAAATTCAAGTTAGATCTCTGCAAAAATCTAACCCCCCCCTTACCTTTAAAATTAACATGCAAACCTTCCAACCACTTCTTTGGAATTCCAGGATCAACATACAACTCTGTATGGAATAAGTACCTGGGCATCTAATAAATACCTCTACAAAAATGCTTCATAAATCTTTTACATTTAAATATCAGCACTATTAATTCAGTTGCTCAGGATTAGGACCTTAGAGTCACCTTTATTCTTTGCCTCTTTTCACATTTCATATCTAATCTATGAGTAAATTTTATTGATTACCTTCAAAATGTATGCAATAACTAATAACTTCTAATCTCCTATTTTGGCATCACCTTGATACAATCTTCCATTGTTTGTCATCTGGATTATTTTAACATGTCTATCAACTTCTTTTTTATTTATTTATTTATTTGTTTGTTTGTTTGTTTGGTTGGTTGGTTTATACATGCACTGGGTACAGTGAGAAGCGCAGGAGGGTGAGAGAATTCACCAGAGCCAGAGCGGGGAGCAGAGCAGGCAGAAGGACCGAAGTACACTGCTGAGGGGAGCAGGGGGCGGCAGGAGAGGTCTGCCTGCCATGTGGGGACCCTCCTCCGGTGGCCGGGGAGCAGCCGGGGATCGAACTGGCGCCGCAGAGGCCGCGGGCAGCTTCGCAACCCAGCACTCAACTGCTGCGCCAACAGGGAGGCCCCACATGTCTATCAACTTCTATCCTTGCCAAAATCTCATTCTCAAGTTTGCAGTCCTGTGATTTTGAGTAACAGCTAGATCATGTTACATCTCTCATTAAATCCCCCAATTTATGGGGTTCCCTGGTGGTATAAGGGGTTAAGTCTCAGCACAATGAAGCTATTGGCAACCACTACAGTATGAGTTCTATCCCAGGCCAGGGAGCTAACCCACATGGTGCAGAAGATCTCTCCTGTCTCGCCTGCTGCTCCCCTCAGCAGTGTATCTCAGCCAATCCTTCTGTTTTGCTCCCCACTCTGTCTCTGCTGAATCCTCTCACCACCCCACCAACCTCTGGCCTACACTCCAGTTCTTGGATGCATAAATAAAATAAATCTTTTTTGAAAAAAATACCCAAATATTTCCAATTTATCATAGGCCATACATGATCTGATCTCATATTTTTATCACATTGATTTCTTTCTTACTCAACACACTTTATTTTCATAATGCCATTCTGATGTTCCACCAAAAACAATGCATATTCTAGCCTCAGAAACTTAATAGTGACGGTGGCCTCTATTTTGAATGTTGGGCAAGCATGGTACAAATTCCTTTTCCACATAATCCACATTGATCACCTCATTTATATTCCCACACTACAATTCCTAATACGTTGTGCTATTTTATAGCACTTAATACATAAAATATTCCATAATTTGTATATTTATTTTGTTGCTTATTGTCAGAATTCTTCCATGAAATATAATTTTCAAGAAATAAAGGATATGTGACTATGTTGTTAATGTTGGTTTTTAGAGCTTATAACAAGTCCCTAGCATGGAGTAGGTCATAAATAAATAATGAGTGAATCCACTTTTGGCAGTGAAGTCACACATTACTGCAAAAGCAAACAATGCTACTGTGAAAATTGACTTAAAGAGAGCAATCCATGTCTATCTTCCTATCTATATCCAACCACTTCAGCACCCCTGAAAGACCCTTATCCTCCCTGAGTCAAGTAAATGATAATATACAAAACACCTTATTAATCTTGTGATAACTGTATAACATGATATATTCAAAATACTTACAAATATGCCTAGCAAGGAAATGGCTTGCTCAATGACAGTTGTAATGTTGTTATTTAAAAAGAATTTACAGAAAACACCTTGCTTCAGGTAATGGATGGGGAAAGAGTGACTTTTTTTTTTTTTTTTTTTTTTTTTTATAGAGGCATGTTTATTTATTTATTTATCTGTTTGTTTGGTTGTTTTTGTTTATACATGCACTGGGTACAGTCAGAAGCGCGGGAGGGTGAGAGAATTCACCAGAGCCAGAGCGGGGAGCAGAGCAGGCAGAAGGACCGAAGTACACTGCTGAGGGGAGCAGCGGGCGGCAGGAGAGGTCTGCGCGCCATGCGGGACCCTCCTCCGGTGGCCGGGGAGCAGCCGGGGATCGAACCGGCGCCGCAGAGGCCGCGGGCAGGTTCGCAACCCAGCGCTCAACCGCTGCGCCACCGGGGAGGCCCAAGAGTGACTTTTTTTTAAACTCACAATTTTAGTTCCCATCTTCTCAGTTGATAACATATAATTAATGGAATTTATATGACAACAAAGACCCCATGTCAGTAAATTTAAGATAAAAAAGGTCCCTATCAGTGTATTCAAATATGGTCCTGTTTTATTTAAGCATTAACATTATTATAACTAAAAAGGTGAAACCACATTTTGATCCCTATAAACATTTACACTTTCCTGTATTATAATGTTTAAAATAAAAATCAAATCTTGGTTTATGAAGTCAATTACTTTTCTTTATAAACATCTCTATTATTATATAGATATTATGTTTTATAAGAAATTATACTATCCCTGGGGGTATATTACAGTAGCAATACCTGATGTGGGTATCCCAAAATTACATCAATTAAAATAAATAGATTTGAAAAATTATATCATTGCACTATTAAATATA